TATCTACCGAATATGGTGCTTCAGGTAGGATTAAGTGTTGTACAGTATAACCCATGTACTTTCTATCGTATAACACTTGCATGGGTAGGTAGAAACTAATACACCTCTGAAGGGGTTTTAGACTGTAATACTCTTGTAATGTTCAACACACAATCCCACAGATACGTATGCAATGGAATACAAGTATTATACTACGATACTACAGCCTATTGTTATGGTACTTGGGCCCTTGGCCTAAGATAAACGGTCACGGAGAAGCGAGCAGGCCGGCCGATGTGCACTTGGTTGGGTGCTAGCCTTGTTGCGGCGCTCACGGTGTTGTAGGCAAATCCCACATGCGGGAGGTGTAGACCCCAGTCATCTTGCCTCTCATTGACGGATACAGCTAGCATTTGAGCCATTGTGTGGTTGACGCGTTCCACGCCGTCGTTGCAGCTACCATGGCCAAAGACGAAGAGACCGCCGCCGCCAAACACGCGGGAGAACCCACCCGACAAGAAAGCAAGCAGAAAGCAGACTGCTTTCCGCTCCCTCTCTTGTGTTAGATCTCGCCCGTGTTTGGCGGCGGCGGCCTCTTTGTCTTTGGCGACTGTAGCGGCGGCGGGGGTGCTGTTGACCGCATGCTGCTGGGTTTCGAGGGCGAGTTCGCCCCAGGCCTTTCATCGAGTCCAGAGTCGATGCTTCAGATGGATTGTTATTTCCCCCTCTTCAGGTTCTAGCCTCTGCGTCTATGTCTCCTCAGGGTGGGCTAGTGTTATGGTATTTGGACTCTTGGACTAAGATACCATCTGGGCGGGTATATCTGTCAGGAATATCCCGACCACCTGCCCAGATTCCTGGTATTCCGACATTAGGAAGGTAGCAGTACAATGGTTGCTATGCATAGCTGCAGCAAGCCATGCGCAAGCGTTCTACCTTGCTCAGTGTTGCCTGGGGGTGAGCGAGAGCGAGCGACTCAGAGAGAAAGGAAAGATAGAAGGAACAGACTGAAGAAGCGAAGTGGCTCCAACCTGCACACAGTGGTCGGATTAGCTTCACACTGAAACCGTGGCAGATATCGTCACAAATAAACAATAAGCAACATACAGACTTCACTATTGCAATACTAAATCCTATACAATGAACGCATTGAACAAACTGGAAGCGCCAAAAACAATGGCCGGGGAGGGGGGGAGGGGGTAGCAGTACGTCCAGAATTCGGATCCGCGAGCCCTTTTGAGCAGGGGGAAAGGCTAGAACAGCAGTTAGTCAGCCGGATGTCCACGTTCCATGGGCGTGTTCGTGATCATACATAGCACTAAGTCTGAGGGCTTGTGGCATCAAGCACTGTTAATGTTAATGGTCAGGCGCAGCTATGTACGATGATTCTTTCCTAGAAGCCCAACGCACCCACTCGCCCGAGCGTGCCATGGTCACCTGAGAGTTGGAGCCTTTGAGAAAGGTGGCACCAACGCGATCAAAAACGAGACGATTTGATTGCGCGCTCGCGCGGGGGTTGGAGTGATCGTACTTTAGCTCATGCCTGTCCAAACCACCTACCCACCACCTCAGAAAGTCTTATTACATCGAATACAAGGAACTGCTGCTGCGGCGTCTTCGCAGCGCGCAGAAAAAAAAAAGGGGGGTATCACGACCAAAATTTAAACAAACACCTTTCTGGACACACCTGCGGCACGGGCACCATAACTCCGTCGCTTGGGCCCCGGATGGCGGTGCGCAGGACCAGTCTCACCGCTTCGCTCGCGCCGTTGGTGAGGAAAATGTTGTCCGGGCTGGCGCGGTGGCCATCGCGGCGCTCGATGAAATCGCACACCTGTTTGGTGTTGTTCGCCAGTCGGAACCCACGGAACGCGGCGGTGGGACATCGGTTGGGTGGGGGGAGGGCGGTTGCCGTGTGCTGCTGTCGTGCATACTTGACTGTGCATATTTGACTGAGGGTGCGGCAGAGGCGGTGACATGCTACGTGTATATTTCTGCAGCATCTGCGGCATCGGGGGGCCGAGGTAGGTAATATGATGCCTAGAGGCAGAGCATGATGCCTATACGGCAGACCTGGAGCACCCTGACGCCCGTGCGGTATGTACGATGGAAAACCATGGGAGGAGTGGAAAACCGTAACATGCATACTAGAGCGCAGAGGTGCGGGGCTTTTACTATACCACGTACTTCAGCTGCCATAAGGCCGACGAGATGGGAACTGGAAGAACTGCGAGAAAAATATCTCTCGGTTGTGGGAGCCAGGGCTCGCCCAAGTTGTGGCATGTTTTCAGCAAACATGATGCGGCCCGTGGGCAGATTTGACAAGGTGATCGCGCCCGTGTCTTGTCTCATGATTATCTACCAAAAGATGGCCTCGGTCACAAAAGTTTATCCCAACGTGCTAAATACTAGAACACGTCAACTCAGGCTGTTAAACTGATGCCATCCTTAGCAACAATTACATTAACTGCTGTCGGCTGTCGTGTGTTTCCATCCAGCAAGTAAACGCGGGTGAAGGGGCGTCCGCCAATACGGGAGAAGGCAGCACTGGCAACTCCCTTTACCCGACCTGATAACAAATCCGGCGTGAATGCGTCATATCGTCTATGCTGGATGACCTCACAACTACACCTGTCTTTGTATGTCACACAGAAGGCAACTACACCTGCCTTTGTATGTCACACAGAAGGAAGCCACGGCGGATGGATAAACCGCTGTGCAGCTGCTGTGACGTGTGATGACGCGAGGTCTGCTGGTAAATTGCGTTTCGATGGTTTATCCGTGCTGGATATAGTCTAATTATCTACCGCCGTGTAGACCATGTAGGCAAGAGACCAGTTCACACCACATTTTTCCCGTGGAGATATACACGTACCTCCTGCCGGACGTACGGGTTGCCCTTCGAGTCGCTGTAGGCGCCGATGCCCCCCTTGACGTGGACGAGGTATTCGCGTGCTCTGGCGATCGCGTCACCGGGGAACATGTCGCTCACGCGAGGATCCTCGAGCAAAAACGGAGCCATGACGAGGGCCATCACCTGATGCGGCAACGGTGCATCACACCGATAGAATAGAACGGTGAGTGAGCGAGCGCTATGTTGTAGCCGACGATGCGGTGGGAGCCAGAGCACGGCACCAACCGCCCTTACACTGCCCAGCGTGAGATGTGCCGGCAAACGTCATAGTCGCGGCCGTCCAAAACACGCAGCAGCAGCATCGCAAATGGTCCGACCGACCGTGCATGCACAATCGCATGTCCAACACAAGCCCGCAGCCAGCCCGCAGCCGGAGCTCACAAGCCACCCACAACGTCCACCCTCCAATTTCTCACCTGCCGCAGGAACGTGAGGGGCTTCTGCCCCAGGCCGTGGGGGTTGCCCACGTTGGTGAAGATGACTTCCTTGCCCGCCTTGATGCGCTCGGTTGCGGCAAGGTAGATCTCCCCGCGGACAGCGTACTGGCAGTCCTTGACGCATTCGGCGATTGTGTCGTATGTCAAGACCTTCCCTCTGCGTGCGCGAAGAGCCGGGGCACGGGCAGGGCATGGTAGAGCAACAAGGTTCATCGTACCGCGCAGCACCATGAGAGTCTCGTGGGATTATCACTGCTAGGCGCAACTATCTCAGCTAGCTCACTCTGAGGGCCTTTGGGACATGCAGCGTGGACATGATCTCAGTTGGGCATACCGTTGCATCACGCAGCACTACTCACCCTGACGCAGCCATCTTTCAGTCTTGCGCCCTTGTCGCTTATGGATCTCTGCGCTGATGGTTAACTCGTTTTGGGACTTCGTGACCTCGTGCTACAGACCAGATACGGTGTTGCTGGACAAGATAAAGAGGCAGCACGCCAAGCGCGAGCGAGGCAGGAGGCGGGCTATTTTTTATTTTCTCAAGACCAATAACCAGAAACGGGTGTACCCGGGTGGTACTTCGTCACCACGTTCGGGTATACTTAGAAATCAAGACGGTTGCACCCCCAGGCTGTGAGCTGATTGGCCGAAAAACCGTTGTACCCATTTCTGGAGAAACCTCCATCGGGTACAACTTCCGCTGGAGATAACACCCGCTGGTGTAACCAATATTGGTTACTGGTGTACCTGGAAAGGGTCGGGTTTGTACCCAGATATGGTCATATAATCCCGGCGCCCGACGCTCAGGCATAAAACCCGCAGAAAAAAACGTGTAGTACCGCACATACCGTGTACCGCACATACAGAACCACAACCAAAGCACCAATAACGATCGCTCGCTCATCGTTCATGGGCACCGCCTCCATAGGTTACCGGCCCTTCTCAACAGAGGGTCGGACTCGCTTGACGCGCGAGTACTTCGGTGTGGTACTGATCAGCAAAAGCACAGAGAGAGAGCGACGCACAGAGAGAGTGAGAGGACGGGCACGACCTGCCTCGTGCATCATCATATGCTTCCGGGGACAGGACACACAGGACACAGACAGCGGGTTTCGCCGCGATCTAAGGCGGATGCTGTCGGAGATTGGTGTCGTCTTGATTTCCAAGTATACCCTGAAATGATGATGATATATCCGGGCATACCCGTTTCTGGTTACTTCTCTTTTCTCAACTCGGTCACACCAACGCCCGACATTTTCCCCTTCACGGACCCCCCCCCCAGGGTTCACCCCGGGACTATAGTCCATGATGACTTATAATATATATAACCCTAACCCCCTTTTTTTAAGGTCATGGACCATAGCCCCGGGACGGCGCACTCGAGTGGCGATACCTACTGACTGCTGATATGCGAGCTCTCTCGCGGGGAAACTATAGGCTTTCAATAGGGCGTCGATCGTAGCCTTTTTATGTGCGTACAAAATGCATACCTGTAAGTACGAGAAGTATGAAAGCAATGAACACATTTCAGAGTTGTTGTTTGTTGTTGTTGTTGTTGCATTTCAGAGTGTAGCCGAGTGTTCATGAATGTCTTCCAGAGAGTGGATCACCGCATTCTTCATGTTGGCGGTTTCTGAGGTGCGAAAGCATGCCGACCATGATTACCTCAGCTTATGCCGCTCGAGTATCATCCGGTGTTTCTTCCACTTCAAACAGGAGCGCGCCCCAACAGCAGTGGCGACTACTGGCAACAACTTATAACACTTTGCGAACATCTATAGAACAACGAGCCGAGTGTCTCCTTGGTGAGGCAAGTTTCAACCGTAGCCCGACTGCTGTAACGACAGCAATAGTAGTTCACCTCCTGGCGATCCGAGTGTCACGACACACCACAGCAAAAGAAAGCTCAATATCCAACGTGCGGCTGCGTTCGGGAAGTCGCAGCTCGGCGGCAATTTTTTGCCTCCTATCCTACTCCTACTTTACAAGATACGTCCGTTCACCTTCGTGGATCTACAAAAATATTTGAAGACCACAGTTACAGTAGTACAAACATGACACGTACTCACGAGACAGAGCATCTACGAAAGGTTGACCAACCTCTCGCTCGCTCATTTGCCGCCAACAAAACGCGATACAACGCTTCCAACAACACGATGCGCGTGCCGACGCGTGCCGCGATGATATAATTACGGGCTCGCCCTGCGCATGTGGCAGCACAAATCAAAATCCATCGTTGGTTAGCCTTGCCCTCTCATGCCAACCTCTTCCCTTGCCCCTTCGGCCATTTTCCGATCATTTAATATCCAAACGGCAGCAAAACGTAGGCGTGGGCACCATCCCCACCCTCTCGACTACATATCACCAGCACAGCTTTAACGCCGAAAACTCCAGCAGAATCGGTGGGGACGGAACATAAGGGCCATACTGGGGCCGGTCGTCACTTTGGGGGGGTCATGCGCCCTCCTCCGCGGTACCGCCCTTCTTGCACACGTAGAGGTAGTGGACGCTCTCTGCATCCCGTGTGTCGGGCACAGCCGCGGCGGAAATGGTGGGCTTGGGGATGGTGTGCACCGTGACGGTCCAGCTGTAGTCGTCATTTTCCAAGTACTGCGATAGAGGGGCCACGCGGACAACAGGTGAGTCACGGCGGCACGAGACACGAAGAATAAGAAAACGATGCCTAAAAATCAAGCGCTTTCGACTAGGTTGCACCAAAGCGTCAGAGTATCTGCGTGTCCTCAGAGTGTTGCAGGATCGCCATTGACGTAAGGTAGAGCGAATTCTCGAGAGGTGTTTCTATAGCAGAGGTTGGAGTTGCTCGTGAGCGAGCGAGCGGCAAAGAGGGCCTCTCCTGCCATGATTGTAGCTGACTCAATCGAGTTTTGCATGGGGAGTCCACGCCCCTCCATGGCTGGTATCACTAAACCGTCACACCTGAAGGCGGTTGTCCGGCACGCCGTAGGAGCAGATGAAGTAGACGCCGTTGGGCTTGAGCACTCGCGAGATCTCCATGCACATCTTGGCGACGTTCGCGGTGGAGCCCTCTCCGCACAGCACCGAATCTAGGGTGCCTTTGTCGATCACAGCGTTGAAAGATTCGTCCGGGTAGTCCAGGGCGCACACGTTCATCCTCGACCACATGAGAGCTGGTTTGTCCCTGAGGGGGTGCATAAAGCGGAGGGGGCAACCAGGGACACAGGTATCCTTCCCGTTAAATCCGAACCCTGACAAATAAAAAAATGAAAACTTTACCTCCCTGGTATTGTACACTCGGCTTTACACACAACAAACATAGAGTGTGTGCAGGCGCATGCGGAGTTCCTCTTTGGAGCCACGAAAAAATTGAGCCTACATGTAGTGTTGCCTGACCAGTTCCTATCGACAGAGACCACATACAGCGTCTCGCATGACATGGAGTATGCCCCAAGGCGGTTTGGACAATTTTCGATGCCAACAAGGCGTGTGGAGACATAACGCGAAATTCAACAACAGAACATCAACGAGGGATCAGGCGCAACAATACCACACCTGTATCGAGCGATCATCTGCTCGACTACCACCCTCGAGACGTCGATATTTGTGAGTGTCGTGAAGCCGTCGTCGAACATTTCTTCGCTCAGCCGAGAGTTGCCACAGCCCACCATAAGAATGTTGTCGTCCTTACGAACGTACTGCGATATCCAATCCTTCAGCCCGGAGTAGCGCTGGGAAACGAGAGTAAAAACCCACAGGGTGGACGCGTACATGCCACGTGTTAAGTTACGAAAGCCCTCGTGCTCGGTGTAGTGCTTCTTCAGTGTTTAATACGGAAAGCAGGAAAGATGAACCAGCCATCGAAACACGACGAACTGCTGTGGATACACTTCCGATGTACTTTAATTGCTCTGCATACCCAACGATCTTAAGATTTCAATGGTGAAAATCGAGCACAACATATCGTGCGTCGGTAGGCAACCATTGCGCATCTGCACTGCTTACGGCATTGCAGTACTATTGCTGTGTGCGTTGAAATACTTCTCACCTGCACGAGTACAACAGACTGCTACACGTCCTACCAACCAAATCATCACACCGAGAGGTCAGTGAATTAAACAGACCACAGCTACGATAGCATGATAGCATCCGTCGACATGCAACCAGTCTAAACAGCGGTACATGAAATACGGCGGCATGCGGTACATGAAATGCCATCACACCTGGTACCAGTCGAAGATCTCCGGGTCCTGGGTGTACCGTTCGTCCCAGTAGGACGCCTTGCCGTACTGCGGATGTGACATTGCTCTTCCAAAGCGTGGCCGGCGAGCTCGGCTGCTACAAACTGTAGGTTTAGACAAGGAATCGAGGCAGCAGAAGGTAGGTGACAGTCGTAAACGTTGCGCACACAGAGTGCCGATGGGTTTGGGCGTTCGCCGAAGGAGCATACAAGCACCAGCGATTCTAGAAGTCGTTCTTCTTGAAGTCGTTCCTCGTAAATTTAAAAAAAGCGAAACGGAAATGCGGCGGGCTTTCCTTGCTGGCTAGGCGTTCAAATCTCACGCTGATCGCTGATCGGCTAAGCGGAGAGAATATAGGCACTGCAAGCTCACAAGAAGTGCTGCCCACGCGATCGTGCTCGACATCGCAACACGAACCTTGGTAGAGACAACCACACAGCACAGATATGGCGGAAGCCAGTGCAATCTGAAGCGGCTGCTGTATGTGCTGCACTTTCACAACGCGGCGCCCCGTGGCGCACATCTGGTACAGTCAACGGGTTTGTAGACTTTGCGCACCCCCCTGCTGGGAGACTGTCGAGATTGGCAGCACCAGCCACGGCAGACTGTTGTGGTACGTGTAGCCTTATCTGCTGCCCTTCAAATAATCCCTAGGCCATGAATCACGGGACATGCCCGGAGGGAATGGAGTGCGCATGCTGCTTCGATGATATCGAGGGTGGCACCGATGGAAACTACGTGGAGTATAGGACTGGCGAAGGTGAGGACCACCACTATGTGATGCAAACTACAACTACCCACTTTCAGTTGCTTTGCCGCTGTAGGTGATACCACCCTCTCCCTCGCCCGGTTTCCAGAGGTCGTTTGCCCCGCAACGAAGAGGATGCTTATGTCGATCCGTGCATTTTTGTAACGTCTCCATTTTTGACACTACTCCTTCTATTTTGCGGAGTAATGGAGGTTTGAAAATCGATCCAGGGGGTGTGGTATCTTGCGTCAACCTCTGGTATTGTTGACGGGCATGAAAGTTTTTCCGCCTGCCTGCCACACTCTAGAAGCGATCTCAAGTCAATGGTGTACCGACGGAGTCAGAGTGAATAAATTTGCACAAGTTGTATCCTTGCAGCCACAACGGCAGCCGTCGTGGCGTTGTTGTTTTTTTTCTCCCATCATTGGACTCTGTCGTCTGCCCCTCTGGCCCCTATGCTCCACTTCTACTAGCTAGACGACCCAATCGGGGTCACATAGGACGGGGGGGGCTGGGCCCCCTCCTGCGGTTCATGCCTGAGGTATTTTTATCGCGAGAAGGGTACAGCAATCCCTTCCCTCGCGACTTACGAAGTCGATTATGGTTTACTAACGACGAGCTTTGCAGCGCGTCGCTTTCACCCTAGACCAGGAGTTATTTATTGAGAAAAAAACTCACTCTGCCGAGACTCGAACCCATGACCTGGCCCTTAGCAGGCTGCGAGGTTACCCACTAGACCACCGAGGCGACCGACGTCTGTGTGCGGCTGGATGCCACCGAGGGCCTTGCCGGTTCCGACTTGGCAGCATCACCTACTGCTTGCATGTGGCAGTATCTACCAGAACGCTTGTGCCGAATCGCTTGTCAAGCACCGACCATCGCTACACTCGCGAAGCATGGAACCTCTAATTTTCGTCGGTGTCCCACCTTCGAAGTCCTGTGCCATCGCTGTTCTCTCAAACCGAACACGGAGAACCGATGTTTCATGTGTTGGCAGGTCTAGAGATATTGCTGCCCACTCTCACTCTCTCCGCACACACCTCTCCCCCTTTATTCTCTGTTTTGGTACTTGCTGGTCCGCCGGACGATGCATGTGACTCCGTCTCTCCGCCAGATGCATTCCTGTCATTCTTTCCCTGTCAATTTTCGTTGTTGGCAAACCCATATTTTGCTTTTCTCTGTCTGTCACACAACACAGGCAAGGAATGGCGCCCATCGTTGTTTTGCAACATGTGCATCGGGGTTCTCATCAAGAGTCAGTGGTCCATCTTCGAGGACACTTTGGCCAAGACTACGTGCAAGGTGTGTTACAGGTGGTCTGCCTTGTACTGAAAGTTCTAGCCGGCGGCCCACAACATGCGTAACTTTCTTCCAACCGCAAGAGGACACGTTGTTCGGCTTCCCCTGTTGGCAACTCCTGTCGTAAGTCGGAACGTATCCTGAAAGGCGTCCATCCCTCGTCTCCTTGTTCCGCAATGATCCAGGCGCAGCAGAAGCGAATGCTAGGGGAGGGGCCTCCAACGCATGTACACGTGAGTATCGCACTGGCGTCCATCGAGTACGAGAGTATGGAGTGGCGGAGGGATGCGTGAAAAACGTGGGGATGTTCGCACACGTTTCCCTGTGCGGGTTGTTGCTACCCCCGTCATCTCGGAGGATGGCGTGCTGACGTGGCGTTGTGCGGTCACAGAAAGGAGTGCCGCCGACGAAGGCTCGTGTGTTCTCCGGTTCCATGGGTCCAAGCGTGTTGCGTCTGTGGCGATGATGTCGAGACGTTGAGCTTTTGTCTTCGCGTACAGAGAAGGTGTGGTGCGGAGCTTGCCAGCATGGGAGCTTCAGATTGGGTCTTGCGTCATGAGGACTCGGCACGTGGCCCATGAGTATTGCGACACGCCGAAAGTGTCAACACGCTGAAACACCGTGGACATATGTCGCTTTGTTGCACAACATGCCGCCCTAATGAGTGACACCTCGCCTTTTCCCAACAGGACAAAACAGCTCTGAAGTGTGAAGAGGGCGAGAGCGTGCACTCGTTGTGGTTTGTTGGAAACGAGGGCGGCGAGCCCGAGGTAAGCCTCTCGCAAGCCGCCTCTTTCCGAGGCACTACTCAACAACAAACAGTTGATTGGATGCGACCATCGTATAGCTCCCAACGATACTGGATTTTGAGAGGTGTTGCAGATGTTGCACGTTTGGTCAAGAAGAGGAGCAGTGGTTCCGGGCTTTCACCTGTTCAGAGAATCAAGACAAGATCGCGGAGTAGTCAGTGGTATATGTATGAGAGAGACTCCATACAGGACCCTTGGTGTGGCGATTCTATGTACCAGTCTGAACTGCTGCTTCGCTGCGCCTTCGTCCGTATTGGCATACTGCTATTGTTGACCACACCTCAAGATTCAATCTGCGCTGCTAGAAGGGGCTCCGCAGGGTGAAGCCCGACAGATCTGGTGGGACGAGAAGCTAGCGTTTCAATTCGAAGAGGACGAAGACGAAGACGAAGTCGAGGCGGGGGGAAACACCACCGCTGCCACGACCGTGGCTGCCTCGACACCACCCCCGGTGCCCGGTGCGCCATCTCCTTCCCCCGTTCCTCCCGCACCTGCTCCTGACTCCCCAGCTGCTCCGGCTACCAGAAATACTGCGCAAGCAGGAGAGAGTACAGAAACCGCGGCGGCGAGCCCACAAGCGGCGCGGGCGGCAACAGCAACACCACCGGTTGCTGCTGGTGCAGAGGTGACCGAGGCAGTTGCGGCTCCGTCGAAGATGGACGTCGAGGGAGAGGAAGGGGTCTCGCCGCCTGCCGCGCCAGTGACCGCCTCTGCACCTGCGATTCCATTAGGCTAGGACGAGGGAACTGTCGTGGTAGGAGTCATACCCACTGACTGGTCCCGGCTGCTCGATGCATGTCGCTCTTGAGTTATTGACAGAACCTCTGTCGGGAACCCCAAGAGAAGGGCGCGCAAACCTTAGTTTGTAGTCATCCAAGATGATGCTTTTGCAGAATGATCACCAGAAGACACGATGTTCCCAAGATCTCCTGAGGTGCCATACTCGATTTCGCCCTGGATGATTACGCCACCCGTCGAACAAGAATCTTGGGTCGTGCCTGTTTTTGTGGGAAATTTGAAATTCCGCCGCAGGTGCGTTGACCACTCAGGGAACTGCGTGCCACAAATGTTTTCTGGGATGATTCCACCTGTAAGTTGTTTTTTGTGGTTTCGGAGGAGTCTACGGGATGAACGTGGGCAACCCCGCTTGTGCTTGGGATGGATGGGGGCTTGATGACTTCTGGAGGCTGATGTTGCGTCCGTGCGGTGGGTCAAGCAAGCTGACACATAATTGGTGTTTGTTGTGTCGTTGTTTCCAGCTTCATGATTGGAATGATTGGAGGTTCGCTTGTCGTGTCACTGGCCTTCACTTTCACTCGCGTTGTTGGTGTATGTTTGCATGTGTCCCTCTTGCGCATCCCGTCCGCAGCACGGCGTCTAGTGCTTGGACTAGACTTCGGTAACGTTCAGTGGGAAAATCATAGTAGAGGAACGCCGACACGGTCGCGACTTTTTGCCCGCTCAGAGATCGCCATGGTTGAATTCCTCTTGGCAAGGTGCAACCACAGTGAGGAACACCCCCAGCGTCTGGACACAAACGCTGCTGTACGATGCATTGCATCTGAGGAAGTGCCCATGCAAATATCCTGTGCACTCGCAGACCGCGAGCACAGACAATGCCCGATAAAACCCTGAAAAAATGTAAGTAGCTTGCTGGCCTAGCACAGGCAGCAACTCACCTATTTCGAACTGGCCGGGGTGGGGTGTAGTAGAGGACCACGCCCGGACTCATCTGAGGGCGATGGCAGATCGGCTACAAGGGCAACATACAACAATGAGACAGACAACTCCAACTCTACCCTATCCCTACCCCTTCCTTCCAATACTATGCTTTCTTCCAATACAATGTCTTAAAACACTTTTGTGTGTTTTTCGCCCATCAAAGCTGGGCGCCAGTCTACACCTCTTCGAAAAATCGGCGCTCCAGCCGGGGTCTCCGAGGAGAAAAGGCAACCACACGACCATGTGCTTTTTGTCTCTCTCCACTGTTCCCCCTGTGGTGCGGGCCTTCAACTCTGAACACGAAAAGGGTTCAGTGGTTCAGCCGCCCCTTCCCTCAATGTTGTGTGCACTCACGACAATGCGCCGTCATTCAAAAGTGCGACTATTCTCACTCAAGTCAGACTAAAACCCACAACCAAGGACCAGCAAGTTTTACGAGGACACCAACTGAACCGCTAAACCACGGTTGTGCCACCGCTCCAGCATCCTTCAAGGGGGGCAATTTTGTCAACGTGGGCACTGTCACCAGTTCGGTTCTTATCGGTCACTCGTCTACAACCTTAAGCCCCACTCGGTGCCAGCTGTTGCTAAGCACGCCTCGGATGTTCCAGATAGGCTCCGGCCGTTCGGGCTGAGAATTGTACCCGGCGTCTACCGCCTTGCACACCAGCTTCATTTCGCCCTTGCCCTTCGGAACCGGCAGCGACGCTTCCCACAGTGTCCACGCCCAAGTCCTGCCCGGAGACCCACCCAAGGCGAAACGTGTGGAATCTTTCAGAATTAAAGGAGAGACCCCCATGCCTAAAAGCAAGAAAACACATTTTCATGGTCTACAGGCAGCTGTAGGCTTCATTGTTCCTCAGGATACACACTACCGAAGTACAACG